ACCCCAATTATAAATTCAAAGCATATTCCCACCATAAATGTCGCATAAATACGACTATTTTGACAAAAAGGGCACGTAGCATAAAGAAATGCAAATTGGACGTAAATCAATCATGAAATATGTTCACAATGGCTTGTAGACATAGAACACATGTTGGCAGCATATTTAAATATATTTCTTGCGCAACTTCTCAAAATGCCCACAACGGAATCTAGGCTTTCAGCCTTAAATGATTATAAGTTATACAAGTCTTTACGTTCTATTTATCTTTTTTATCATATTTGATTCGGAGCTGCAGTAGAGATATTCACTTATTTGTTTGAAAGATATTAATTGTTTTAAGCTAATATAATTATCCAATTATATTATATAATGGCACATTAATGTTAGCTTCGAGGTTAAGCCTTTAATTGAGCTTACAAAATTGTAGCGTGCTCATCAAATTTGAACTAGTGGTTTATATTTCCTTCTTATTATATTACTTTTTAGTTCTATTTATAATTTTTTAATAACATCATATTACAATATCATGTTAGGTGCTTACATGTTTTTACTAAAAAACAGGTCCTTAAAGCTTTAAAGTAATTCTCTATTTGCAGTAAGAATCATTACTATATATATATATTAAGGTTTGTATTAATGAAGTTTTATTTACTGCAAATTTTATTTATGTCTAAAGAAACATTACTTTTACTATTCACTTGTTTGACTCAAAAAGTATTTTAACAGTGATGTAAGAATTAAAGGTTAGGAGTGTATATATTTAATTTCAAAAAACAATTAACAGCTAACGAGTACTTCACCATTTGTAGACCTTATGACATTGGGTATTTAAAAATTTGTATAATAATTTCGGGACCTGTCAATTAAGTGCGAGGAAGATGACACAATAAGTCGTCAAACATATGGCAACTCGAATACAGAAAAGAAAAAAAAATACTTGCTTGCAGCTGGCGCCCCAAAACCGGAAGCAAGAGATAGACATCGACTGATGAACTCTTGGCCAAATACAAAAGTGGAGCTAAAATCCAACAAATATAATTTGCTTGTTATGCTTAGTTGTCGGTTTTGTTTTTTATTTGTTGATGTGGCTCAGTTTTACGTTATTTTTTCAGCGATTAGTCAAGCAAGCGGGTTAACACTATCAGGCCTGAGTTTTTGGCACTGTGGTGCAGGCATAAGAAAACTTTCAACAAATGTTGAGGAAGTAGCCAATATAAATACATTTGCTTCCAAAATGCATGCGTTTTTGACTTTTGATTTGCTGTTTTATTGTGCATACGTCAAAATAAAAAAAACTTGATTGGTGTTTTGACTAGCGGCATAAAAACAATAACTACAACATAGTCTGGCACGTGTGTTAAATGATGAGGATCCACCACAATTTTGTTAATCGCTGTTGCATTAAGTTTCCGTTTTTGGTGTTATTGACATTTGAACTGTACGCAAAGTTATTCAACCATAGAACATCGAGAATTGAGAAGCTGCTGTTTTGAAGCAAAAAGGTAGGCTAAAATCTGACAAAGAATTTTAGCAACTACATACAGCTTAGTTAAAAAAGCATTATTATTAAAATTATTGTCAGGTTTTATATTTAATCTCTTTTAAATAATTTTTTAATTTATTAATTTTTTTCATATAAAACTTAAATTCAACTACTCTCTTTTAATTTTGTATAATTCTAGTTGTAACTTTAAGTTACAATGTGTTTTTAATGCCCTACATCAAAAAAATAATTTTTATTATTATATTTAAAATATGAAATTATTTTAGGCTTTGAGGGAGCTGGCTAAGAAGCAAATCAAATCCTTATGCAAATGTTAGTTTTTATCTCAATCCATTAACGACAACTCCAACTTTAAATAGGACACAATTTCAACAACTCTAAGCAAGTGAAACTCAATTCTTTAAAAACACACAGCTAAAAAAATGAATTAACAAAAGTTAAGACAAGGAATACATAAAGTACTAATAAATCTACTCAGAGGCGCAAACCTTCCAAATGCGATTTGTTCAAAATTTGTTGTCGAAAACAATTGCAAGCATTTCTAAACGGCGTGACAACATTTTTATTTTAGACATGCTTGACTGGTCGCTGCTGTTCCAATAACCGAATCCGAAGCCAATTCCAAATACGTATCCCCAATGGGAAACCGCTACAGCTAGCGACACGTTTTGAACCCGAAGCCCCAAAGGGTCAAGTGGCGCGTGTAGCGAAAGTCACGATAGCGGCATAGATATTTATAGGGCCAGACCAAATCCTCTAAAAGCCATAACTGCGAGGGTCTTTCATTTAATTTTGGTACATTTTACTTGTAAATAATAGTTGAAAATGTAAGCATACAATTTTACTGTGCAGCTTAATATTCTTTACTTAGTGGAGGCTCGAAAATTTCCAAATGTAAAATGTTCACTCAATTTTAGCGTCCTTAAGTTTAACCAGAAAAATCCACACCGATAAACCAATAACTTTAAATCGAGTTTTGCTTAAAAAAAAATTAAACTTTTTCACTTTATCGGGTGAGATCAGTTGTATTTCTCATTCTATTTTTGTCTATCTACCCTCGCTTGTAATGACCATAAATGCACAGATTCAATTAATACAACTGGAACTGCAATTGTTTAGATACATGCATATATATGTATATATAGGCTGCAAAAGGGCCAAAAGTGCTATGCAATGTTTTCTATCAGTTGTCAGTTCGATCTTCACGCCCGAGCGCCGCAAGAGACCTTCCTCGATAGAGCAGCAATCGTTGAGCGTTACTTGTCTGAACTTGACATGCATTTTGTTTTGCCAGTGCGTGTAGTAAATGAGTAAATGAGTAAATGGGGGGTAACTGCGAGTAGGTAGCTAAATCTCCGGTCTAGACTTGGCGAATTGTGAACTGCATTGGAGCACAACCTACGTACAGCATTGGGGCATATCAAATGTTTTACTTAATATTCGATTTGCCTTCTGCTGTTCTAATTAATGACTCAATTCTGTTGCGATTGGCAATGGGCGCCGTTCCACAGCCACCATTATAAAGTTATTATGATTTATGAAATAAAGTTGTAAAAGATAATTATGAAATCAGCTGACGCTTTTTTATTGTATCGACTTTTTTATTACAAAAATATATAATTCTTATGATTATCCAATTTTAGGAGCAGCTCGTAAAAATTTAATTTATTAATGGAAGTTCAATGGCATTACGTTACGTTGGCTACAATTTGTTGCTTTATGATACGAGGTGAAGTTACGTTGTATATGTTACGTTCATTTCTTACGAATGCGCGCCGGTCTCAAATGCCGGTTTGTTATTGTCTATGTGAGCGTTGAGCACAAACAAGAGCACGACCAAGAGCGAGAAGAGCACAGCTCTTAAAACTACTCATAGGGTTGCCGAGTTGTGGGTAGGAGATGTTAAATATTAAATTTCGACAGAAAAGAGGAAACAGGTTAACTTAAGCAGTACAAAAATGAAAACATTTTTTAAATATTGAAAATTGTGTTAACACATCTCAATGATACTTCATTGGAATTTTTGATTTTAGTAAAAGTGTTTAATTTCTAAAATATATAATTTGGAAATGAGCTTAAAGCAATGCTTTGCTTTGTAAGAAATATGTTTATTCAGCACAGATCAAGTAGAAAACTACTCAAAAACTTTTTAAATTCTCCTTGTAAGAGGATAAGCACGCACCTAATTTTATATAAGAATACATGACTTCATGGGAATTACTATGAATTGAACGCAGCTTTAATGTGCAGTTCCTTTTTGGGGATGACAACAATAAATCAAGTTTTATTACAAAACATTTGTTACTTTGTAATAACAATTAGTTTATCTGGTGTCATTTTCGAGACGGAGCAACTACTTAAAGTGGGTGCAGATCAATATGAATACTAAAGAGCGCCTGCTCTTTAAAAAGTGCTCTTGCTGCTCTTCGAATCACAATCACTCTTTCTCTCTGTCACTCTCTCTCTTTCTCTCATGCTGTCCCTCTCTCTATAAGTTGAGCAGAAAAGCTGACATCATTCGATAGGCAGCCAAGCCGAGACTCAGCTACGGGCCAAGTTAGCTGGTTCAGCTTTAGCAGGCCAGCTGTCTGTCAGCGGCTTATTTAACGTGCGAGCCAAGCTGAAAACTCTTTTAGTATAGCGTTGGCGTGCGAGACACACGGTTCGGTTGAGCACAAGATACACAAAGTAGTACTTGACAAGCTGGCAACAAAACGAGTTCGAGTTTCGAGCAATATACAAATTTATATATTTAGATACGACAGAAACACATTTAGCGCAGGCGTTCAACTAGTGCAAAATACAAAAAATAAGCACTTCACAACACCAAAAAGGCGTAATAAATATAATAAACAAAAATATTCAAAAATAAAACGAAACATTAAACAATTGTAAAAAACTTGCAGCTGTGAATGTGATAAAGCTCTTTACTGGCTGATGTCAGTCTCTGTCGCAGAGTCGCTGACTCTGTCCCAGTCCCAAAGTTGAACTCTACGTGAATTGAAGTGTATCCAAGCGTTGAGTGTGAAATGCAAAGCAAGCGAATTTAAAACGCGTTTTCATAGTCACAAAGGCTAAGCAGCAAAAGTTAAATTCCGCTTAAAACAATTGCAAAGAAAGTGAAAGACGAGACGGGACAAAAAAAGGGAAAGGTTTTTGGAACCTGCCAACTTTTGCATAGTTTTTCAAGTGTAACGCTCAGAAGTATTGCCACAATTTTCTGGTCTCCTCAGAGAACCACGAACAGTTGTGTTTTTTTCTGTTTCTTCAGCTGCTCGCCCACTTGGTCTGGCATAAAAATCATTGAAAATTAAATGTTTATACATATATTATTTTCAATAATTTCGATGCCAATGCTTTGCTGAGTACGAGATTTTCTATACAAGCGTAAAAAAAATTAATTTCAAACCACGCGTTTCGAGTTGGCTGCTTTAGTGTGTGTTGCGTATGTGTCTTAATAAGAAAATAAAATATCACAAAACAAAAATCGGAGCTTAAAAAGCGGCCAAGCGACATTGATGCCAATCGCTGGTGCATTTGTTGTTCGTTTTTATTGTTGGCCGCTCTCTGTATCACAGCAAGCAGAATACCAACAACAATAGCAACAACAATGAAAGCAACAGCACTAGTTTAAAACGCCTTCAGTGGACTTCGGCTCGAATGTAAGGCACATGCTAAAAAGAGCTATCAACGTCTGACTATCGCAGCAGGTTCGTGCAATTCGTCATTTGATTTATTTATTTACCGTTTTGTCCATTGCCATTTTTTATATCTTTATATATTTTATGCCCGTTTATATATGTGTTTGTAATATATAGCTCTAGTCCAAACTTATGATCTACGTAAATTTTATGAAAATGTATATTTTCGAATTTTAACCCAATTCGAAATACTCGAATGAGAATATTTTAAAAAGGGGGAACTGCTTAAGAAGAAAGTTAATTGACATTACAAGCTTCAGGCATTTTCCTTGGTATTCTTTTAATTAACCACCATTGTTCTGTTTTAAAATTAATTTTCGTAGCAAGAGTCGCAATTGTTTATAGTTCTCCCATAATTATTTCTATAGGTAAAAATATTTCTGAAAGAAGATTTTCTACACTTATTTGCTCTACATGTAAGTAGTAGAGCAAACTTTTGTGAGCAAATTAAAACTCAAGCAAGTTTTTAAGCTAGTCTCCCATTTCTTAATTGCGTATATCTTCTTACGAGTCAGCATATCAAAACTTCCGGCAGCTGAGGAGTATTACACAACATTTACATTTAGTTTTTCTCACCCACCCAACGTTCATTAGCTAAAGATTTTTCTCTGGCAGCACTCACAGACATAAAAGCATGAATTGTAATTTTCAACGATTTTCTTCCATTTTGTTCACCACTAAAACAAAAGACTTGAGCGTATACATACATACATATATGTCTACATTTATGTATATACAAATATATACTCGTACATACATATAAATAAATACACATACTTGCTCAGACGCTATGAATCATGAACAATTAAGAACGTTGCACTAACCGACTGTGTAATACCCTGACCTAAGTGTCATGCCATCTAATTTTTTATTTTTTTTTAAATATAGATTTTCACTCAGGTGTGAGACTACCCAGTAAAATTTGTTTACCGTTTTTTTAAGGAGGAACCATCGCCACTCCTAGTTTTAAATAATTTTAAAAACTATTTATAGGATTTTATTTAGGTGGACGATAATCAGTAAGTCGTAGTTAAATCTTATCACTTTGTCCGATGCGGCAATTTACGGCTGTATAATTTCTGCTTGAGGATTCTAGTTATAAAATGATTAATTCATTCGATATCAGTGTATAAAACAAAAATCGTTGCTTACAATTAAAGTTCAATGATTCTAGTCTGTGCATGAGTTCACAGCTTGCCCAGTCGTTGATGTTAGTCATAATTTTTCCATATTTAGATAGTTGTATTGAATACAAAAAACACATTTAAGAGAGCATATACAAATCGTGGGCCGTCATTTAAAAATGAAATTAGTCAAATTCAGAGCCTGAGTTGGATTTGTTGATTGATATGTTTGTGGAGTGTGATTTTTCGCTAACCATCATATTTATGGCCATCTCATATGCCCAAGTTGTTGCCTAGAGTTCAAGCAGTGTCACCATAAAGAACTTTGTGGAGTAAATTAACGCAAATTACCATTGGCAAAAGGTGTTGGCCCCAATTGTCACCTCCAAAGATATCAAGAAAAAATGAAACTGGGTGCGGAATTCTAAGGCCCAAAGCATATTGCATTACCTTGCGCCGCGTCACAGTCTACGATCATTTTTATTGCCACGCGCCTTTTTTCCAATTTATCTGCAGCTTGAATGTCAGAATGTCTGTCTATCTGTCTGTCTGTTGTTGTTGATGACATTATGCGAATTTCAATACTGCGATAACAAAAAAAAAAATATAATCGCCCAGCTGCGAGATGTGCTTTAGCGACACGTGTTAGATCTTGAGTACTTTGTAAGCGTTCAACTGCTATTTAAATGCTATATAAACTTTTTTCGGTTGATATTTACAGCTCTTGTCAATGATTAGTATCAGTATTGACTTTGGCACATAATCTGCAAAACCTTTCGCACCGTTGAATCTAATCTTTCTACACAAGTTTAATATATTAGAGGTTTTTAAATTAGATATCTTAATAATTTTAATGAGTATCTCCATGTCGAGCGCTGAGTCTTCAGATAATTTTTTATTAGGTGTCAGAAGCCTGTCACTTCATTCTATTGTACCCAAAAAGGTCTAATGTAAATGGTCACCAAAATCTACGACAGTTTTTCACCTTTTTTTTTAATCAACAATTTAATGGTGTTTTTGACACCACACCCGAGTATAGCATTTGCATTTGCAGTGAATTTAATTTGAGTATCTGACAAAATATTTTTGCATTGTTTGCCGTTGCTTTTGAAATGTTCCCGCCTGAAAATTATCGCAATGTATATGTATATAAGAAAAAAAGTGAACAATAAAAAAAGACCGATATAAGCGAACGTTTCAAAGTCATAATTATTAGCTTTGCCTTTTATAGCAGCACATTGCTATTTTAAATACTTAAAAACAAAAAGCCAAAAAGCGAATTCTTTATAAATCATTTTCTTGCTGCGCTTTGCATAGAAAACAAATTCCAATGAACTTTGGCAGACGTCAAACCGTTTGCAATTTGTTTGCATTTGGATTGAGAAAAATTATAAAAAATACCCAAATGATTTCAATGCTAGCTTTTGGGTTGTTTTTTTTCGCATAAATTTCATATCCAGATAGGATACGCGTCATAGAAGAGTCAAGCCTTAACGGATGACATCAGTGAGCCAAGTAATTCTAGGCAAGCATCAAGGCTTTTTATATGGCTGAACCTTCCTTTGCACATAAGATGTTTTAATCTTTAATCGACTTGATTACAGCCGTGCTCCTAATTAGCTATGTGCATAGTTAGAGCCAAGTTTCTGACTTGATCTTTTTTTGACAATGTTTTTCTGACATTGTTAGGCATGAGTGCCTTTCATTTTTCCATCATGCTTAATTAAACCATAAACACCTAAAATCACGCTACTATATTCAACATATTGCCATATGACAAGCGACCCACACGACTTCTTGGTTTTTTGTTTTTGGTATTTTTTATATTTTAGACAATGCCAATTGAAAGAGCAGTTGAAAATTGCAGCAGCTACACCCCCGCAATCAACACTTGAAAATGAATTCATAGCCCAACCTAGGACAAGTTTTTGTTTGCTGTGGTGGGCTTACGTTTAGGTTAATCAATTTAAATTACCTTCAATTAGGCTTTTTGTTCATTTCGGCATTGTGAAAGAGATGTGAAACCAGAAATATGAAAATAATTTGTTTCATTGTCTCTTCACCTATAACAGCTCTTTATCCACTCAATCCCAAACAATCGAGCTTACATAAACACACATATATGTATTAGTAAAGGAAATTACATTTTTATTAAAGCTCCATGTGCCGACGAGCATCCAATTTGAATAGTGCTCCAACAGATGGGTTGAAACTCGTGTATGATTTTCTTTATCTTTATGGTCGGGCTGGGCCAAGCAGCCACACACAGCGCTCTGCTGGCAATTATACATTTTATAGCTTCATTCGATATGCATGTTGGGCATGATATTTGCTATATGCGCAGAAATAAAATTGTATGCGTGCAATGCGCCGTTGAGGGTGTTGGCTCTGTTTTGGACCGCCTATAAAATGCAAATTTCTTTGAGTCATAAAATAATATGTAACAGAATTGATTCAGTTACAGAATCTGGCACAAATATATTTATTTTCAAAGTATTTGCATTGCTTATCTGTATGGCATAATAGTTAAATGGACAACAGTTGATTATCTTTGGTATTAATAAAAAAGTAATGTGTATCATTTACTTTGTTTTCCTTGATTTTTTGGTATGTCTTCTATGTCTTTGCAGTTCAAAACATGCGCCCCTAGGAGGCTGCTTCTTCTTCTAGCTAAGGCGACACACTCTGCCAGGATGTTCATCGAGGATTCCTCCTCTCTTTCACAAAACCTGCACAGGTCGCTACTATATATACCCAGTTTTGCTAGGTGACTCCTTAGTCTACAGTGTCCTGTCAATAGACCGGTGAGTTTCCTAAGGCTGTTCTTTCCCATGGTTATAATTTGATTAAATCGTACGAGATTATAACCACCTAGGAGACATCTGGCTTGTCGGGGTCCGACTGCCTCCGACCAGCTCTGATGCCGTCTCTGCCTCTCCTCGTTTCTAAGTTCCAGTCGCATAGTGTGTCTCCCTATGCCACAATACGGTTCTGGTCCTGTTAGGGGTCTTCCTGCCCCCATTCTTGCTTGCTTGTCAGCCGCCTCGTTTCCCGCTATGTCCCTGTGGCCCGGGATCCATCGTAGGGTGAGCCTGTTATTATTCCAGAGTAGGTCTAGCTTTGAACGAACTTCATGGACTACCTTCGATGTTATCTTAGTCCCCATTATAGCTTTCAATGCTGCTTGACTATCGGATAGGATGGATATATCCGTATTCCGACAGTTACGTTCTATATTGAAGTCCGCACATCTCCCTATCGCACACACCTCAGCCTGAAATATGCTGGTGTGCGTTCCCAGGGATTCATGGTAGAATACCCGAGGACCCACCACTCCAAGACCCGTGCCCTGATTCGTGAGTGATCCATCGGTGTACCATTTTATGGTGTGCAGTTTCATGGGATGGACCTCATCCAGAGTTGTCCATTCCCTTTTAATACTCATACAAACTGTGAAATTTCGCTCGAATATGTATTCGGCTGCCATTTCGTCCCTAGGTTGCGTCAGTAGCGGTAGTTCGTTTGAAAGGAGTTGGCCATCTTTGTGTCTTATGGGGGATATAGGATATGATATATAAATAAATTTACAAAAATTAAAAAAAAAAAAAGAATTGAAGTTTATGAAATATAAAACAAATTATAAAATTATACACAAATATACTCAATAAATGTTTATACATTTAAAAAGCTTTTACCATTCATAGATTTACCCTTACATTTTTTTAACCTTACTTTCAAGCAGCGAGACCAAATCCACAAACTAGTAATAATTACAGCCTGAAGCTGTCAGACCAAAACTTACTAATCCAAATTTAATTAATTATTTGATCCGAAGCAGATTGCAAATTTCGCCTGTCAGGTGAAAGCTGGTATAAATTGCATAGT